AAATTTCCTACCAACGAAAAAGTATTAGGTGTGTCCCGCGCGATCATATGACCTTATGCAGTTGCGAGCGCCGTAAAACCCTATACTAAACAAAAAACAAAACAATAGTTATCCAATTTCTTCACGCAATGTTCAAAGGCTTCCAACGGCGTCTGTAGTGTAAATATTAGGCTCCTTGTTGTTGTGTGTAAAAACAAGAGGTGAGTTCCAGTGACAGGAAATTATTACACAAAATAACCACAAAACACCCCCTTCTTCTCCAACTCCTCTCTCCCCACTATCAGATGCACCCTCTAAAACACATTGCTACCTTAGAATTACTTCGTTCAATCTGACGTTTTTGGATTTTTTTGATTTACTAAGACAATGCTATCAGGAACCAAAAGTCCTATTTGTTCTATCCAACTCGTAAGATAATTTGGAGTCTTATTCAAGATATTCAAAGAATTGCTTTTTGATAAAGCTTGACCCGTAGAGAAATTCCAAAAGTTTTACGTCAATTTTCTCAAAGCTAGGCACTGAGCAGATAGAACTATGTACCTCTAAGGTAGCGACACACACTCAGCTATTTCAATATATCTACAAGTACTTTGTTTGTCCCAGGCTGACCAAACTTGACAGAAAAAACACACAGGAAGAGAAACTGGAACAGGTCATGATGTCCACCCTCGGCAAACTGAAAGAATTCCTCACGTGTGGCATCTGTCTTGGACTGCTCAAGGAGCCGAAGATTCTAGACTGCTTACACAGGTAAGGCGAAAAAATATCTGTCAACGAATGAATCTAGATAATCTTCTTCTTCATCAGGATGTGTCAGGTCTAGAGCAGTCATTGACGATCATGGTGCCCCCATTACTTCCTGTTGTCTATCTTCTTGGTCAGTTTGATCAACGTGAGGGATGCGTCAATGAGATTTCGAGATAATAAATAGACAAAACAAATACATAACTTCCATTTAATTTAACCCCACGTCAAATTTACGTCACAATCATCATCATCCAGTGCCAGATTTGCCACAGACATCGGCGATCATGGTTCTCCATTCATTCCTTTGCTCGGATGCTTTCAAAAAAGCTACGTTTCTCTGATCTTTCCCTGTTACCCATTTGTTTAGGTTACCCAAGTATGTTGTTCTGGGCCTTCCCCTGCCTCGCTTGTCATCAATTTTGCCAGTGAGAGCTAGGTGTTCAAGACCCTTATGTCTCTTTATGTGTCCCAAAAACTGCATTTGTCTTTTCCTGATTGTTTTTAACACTGAGCGTCCCACGTGGGCTTCATCAACCACTACCTCATTTGATTTCTTCTCCTTCCACGATACATACTTAACTTTCTTTCTCCTCTGTTGCCGTTAAGCGTCGAGGGGAGATGCAGTTTTCTGTGGTAGGCCAGCTCCGCAGCTCTTTCAGTTGTGATATTATGTTTTCTCAAGGTTTCCTTGACGCCCTCAATCCCCCTTTTGTGTGCCCTTCCTCTTCCTTTATAGCCTGAGTGCTTAGTATTATAGGCTCTTGTGGCAGGCTGGCTAGGTGATGTACGTAACAGGTGGCTAAACCATTTTGTTCTCGGTCTTTCTATGAAATGCAGGCAGGACTCAATGCCAATAGCTACTCTTACTTCTTCATTTCTCTGCCTGTCTCGCCTTGTGATGTTAAGGGTTTTGCGGAGATATTTTATCTCATAATGATGTACACAAATGCAGAAATCAGTAATACACGTACATAAATGCACGGATACTAAACAATGTCACAAACATACAGGGGGTCATGTTTTGTGCTAGGGTTATCGTATCTTGCTCAAGGACCCATCGCCAGGTTCGTCTCTCTCATGATCTAAATCATGTCGATGGGGGCGTAAAACATCCTAATATAAAAAGGGCACACCCCAGTAACCACCCACATAACGCTGTGTCTTTGACATATGCTTGACATTATTGTGATCCCGACTTCACTTATCACTCAGACTTGAAATAATAGACAGTTGGCATTTTAGGTGTGTCCAAGGCTGCCTTTTTCAGCGTTCTAAATGGATATAAGCGAGAACAAATTGTTTCTCTGATAACGTTCATGCCAGCATCAGGCATATTCTGATAGCCCCCCCCCCCTTCCTCTTATTTTTTAGGTGCAATATATATTGTAAATGTTTAGGATTGTTGTTAATACTAGAACCATCAGTGATAACAAAGGTTCTAGAAATAAAGGTATGGCCAATATTTTACATCGCCATATTGAAAAAGTGACTGGTGAACACTTAAGTATATCCAGTATAGCTGTGTGATGCACGGTTTCGTAGTTTACTCATGGCAATGAACACAAACTCAGCTGTCATAATAGTATCTCCTGAATTCTCTTACACAGTCTAATCCGCTTTAACGGCCACTTGTCTAAGAAAATCACCTGTTCAAACGGCCACTTCCCACACCCCCTTTGCGTCTTTTCTACATCCTAATGACACTCTCCAAGATGTGCTCATGTTTAAGACAACTGTTTCCCCCTCGTCGACAATGGTTGACCATATTGAACGATTTCTGCTGCATACCCGAATACTGAGTGTCCGCTCCTTGGCACCCCCCCCCCACCATTCTTTGCACAAATCCACCGTGAAATAACTCTTTAACGAACCGAATAGAACAATAGATCTACTTAAACTTACTATCATTTTTAACGATGTACCTCGTTTCCAAATTTACAAGCACAGACACCCCAACCCCCCGGACGGTGCTACTGACTGAGGTGTCTTACGGCCATTCCCAAAAGGGGGGGGGGGGGCTTTAACCATTTTTGTATGCACAGTAGAATTGTAATTGTAAACGGGCTGACACATCAATGTCATGCTCATAAATGTGCCTGAACTTACTTCCTTACTTTGTTGGAGAATAGGCATCATTGCAGGCGGCACAGTGCCATAGCTGCTCCTCCCTCCTTTCCAGGATCCATGAAAGGGTACCAGTTTTCAGCTGGTTAGATATTCTTCTGGCTTTTCTACGCTGGTTGCTGTCTCTCCCCGGCCCTCTAGAGACACCAGCTTTCCTTAGTCTATCCATTGTGTGTGAAGCGGTGCCTTCATCCTCTCTGTGGTCGTTGAACCACGCTGTCAATGCTGCCATGACTGTTGGTGGATCTGCTAATTGCATGGTGCCGCCAATCTCAGCCTGGCCGGCTAGCTTATCAGCATTTTCATTACCTTGAACTCCTGCATGACCAGGGCTAAAGATCCATACAATCCTTGTGAGTCTGCTGCTTCGTATTGCCCCTCGCCAGTCTACATACATCATGCGTTCCTTCACTTTTTCGAGGGTACTCATCGAGTCGGTGACGAGGATGGCAGACTGATACCCCGTCGTCTTAATCTAGTTAAGGGCTCATGTGATGGCTTTCATCTCCATGCACATGCTGGACGTGGTTATACTAGTGGCGCCAGACACTGAGCTCGTTTTGATTTGTGGAGCTTTCAAGGCTCTCAGTCTCAGCCCATTCGGCCTGGACCTGTCAGAGATGGACGTTGACCTCGGAGGTCCTGCCTCTTTAAATCACCCAATAATGTTGACAGGGGCGTAAACCCATACACTTTTTCAAAAAGGTTTCTAGAAGACGTCTGAGGGATGTGAAAAGTTAACGTTGAAACAAACACGGGACTAGTAGATTATGTAACTTACAGTTATCTTTGCACTTCTAAAGAGGGAAGTCCGCAAGCTGCACACATTCAAACTGCAGGAGAAATTTTTAAATGTTCTAAATGTGGAAACTTTTTCTTTGCCAGAATTGGTCTCATCGGCCACAACAGAAGCCACAAATCATCTCAGTCTGCAATATTTTAATTTCTTCTGTTTTGCTGGTCATCGTCAGACAATGACGGACGAGCTATTATTATTATTATATTATTATTATTATTATTATTATTATTATTATTATTATTATTATTATTATTATTATTAATATTATCATTATCATTATTATTATTATTATTATCATTATTATCATTATTATTAATATAATTATTACTATAAGCGTTTCTAAAGTGTCTTATTCTTAATCTAAAACATAGCTAGGACGTCCGGTTCTTTGCGTGTTTTCAACAAAAAAATCTGTCTCTTTGCAGGTTTTGTGAAGCATGCATTCACAAGCACATTTTGCAACAAAATCAAGAACAGTTAAGATACGATCAAGGATTCTGCTGCCCCACCTGCAGACACAAGACAGCGGTCTCCAATTCCAAGAGATCTCCTCAAAAATGGGCCGCTCGCTTGCAGACCGACACTGGTTTCAAGAACCTCGTTCAGTTCGTACAAACCCAAGCTAACATGCCGCAAGGACAGAATGTTTTCTCTGGCTCGTATCATCTGTGTCCGGTCCACCCAGATGAAAAGAACGACTTGTACTGCAATGACTGCGCGTGCGTCATATGTCACTTGTGTGCAGGCACGACTCACCGGAAGTGCGCTGAGGTTGTTGTTCTGGTCAACGCCGCTAACGAGAGGCGGCTTAAGGCGCAGGAGAGCGTCCACCATACGCTAGCCAAGCTGAAAGAAACGTTGACGTCACTGGAGTCATGTGGTGAACGCGTCAGTGAGATCAAAGGGCTTCGTACGAACGCTGAAGCCGCCATCAAGGAAAGGGCAAACACTCTGAAGAAAACACTAGCCCAAGCCGAGGCGAAACTCCTGCATGTTCTAGATGAGCGGTGCAAGTCCATTGAGGAAAACATCATAGGGCCTTTGGGCGGATATAATGACAAGTTTGTCACCATGAAAAAGAATCTGGCCTCTCTGTCTGGAAATCTACGGTCCATTTCCGACCATGATCTGCTTTCGGGAGACGTAATAGAAAAGGCCAAAGGGAGCGTGGACGATGGAGATTCTGAAATCAAGGCCTGCGAAGCTTTGTTAGACGAACTGTCAGATGTTAGGTTAACCTTTCAGAGTTCAAGCGGGCTCAACATCAGTCTTGGAACTCTTGTGGCAATCAGCGAAAGAGAAGACCCCAACAGTTTGGCAGCTCAACAAGCCAAAGGGGAAGTGGCTCTGAGCAAACTGAGAACTCTCAGAGAAGCTGTTGCCACAGGTGGAGTCACCACGGGTGACGACGGTAGCCTAGCAACGCCTGAGTCTGCTGTGAGTGTGAGTGACACCAGCCCGGCTGTGAAAGCAGCTGCTGCAAAAGGCAAGGATGGAGATGGGTGTGAGGACGACCTTGACTTTCATTTTGGAGTGCAGGAAAGCGATAAACCCACAGCGCCACTACTCAGCCGTCTAAACCAAGCCGTCAAATTCCCTGCCTCCAAGCGTTCACACTCAGTCTACGAGTATTTTTCCGCGCGTTCAAGAAAGCAAGTCCCTTTAACTGAAAGCCCTCCCGCTCCTTAGTTCTGCATTGCCTCTTCCAATCTGTATTGTCTCTCAACAATTCATAATTTTAAAAATTGAACAAAAATGCCTGATCATTTGGGAATTAAGCTATACATACTCCGTAAATAAGTCAACATGTTTGCCAGCTGTTTTTAGGTTTGCTGAGATTCAAAACTTTACTCTTTTTTATTGCAATAAATGATTATTTCAAAATTCAAATTCTGAATGTTGTCAATAGCAAGGAAAGATGCTTCCTGACTCCAAAATGTAAAGCCATAGGTTCGAATTCCCCGACGTTGTGCACTTGGGAAAGACTCTTTAAGCAAAATGGTCCTCACTTCACCCAAGTGGGAATTAGTCGCCCCGGCTACAGACAGCGAAATATCTTTTCAGTTTGTTCATGTTTGGACCCGTGCAACCCACAGCTTCCCATGGAAGATGACGATGTTTCTGAGTCGTCTTCTAGTGTCCGGTTGTGCGTAATAATAGTTCCAAAGCGCAAAGAGCGTGTTGTAGAGCGTGGATATATCCTGCATAAATACAGTCATTATTATCGCAATAATCATCATTCTTCTTCTTCTTCTTCTTCTTCTTCTTCTTCTTCTTCTTCTTCTTCTTCTTCCATAATGTAGGTACACTTGTTCAAAGAATGAAATCGCTTGTTTTTTTCTCACCTGGCAAAAATTTAGTTTTTGGGTTTAGAACCATTGAACAACTTGTCAACGACATGAAAATAAGACATCGTACACTCATGATTATAATCTCAACGCAAACTACACCCAACAAGCTTCTTTATTGATGTACATGTTAACGGACTTTACTTACTTATTTTACTTATCCCTTTGTCTATTCTTTACTAACTCACTCAGAAAAAAAATGTGGGACTTGTCCAGCACACCGCCTGCCCCAAACGATCATTTTTGTTAGAAGTGTTTTTTCTTTTTTTTTCATTTGCAGTGTTTATTGCAGTCATTACCTTCTGAAACATCTTTCAACTTTCTTTGATCGTTCATTTCGTTTGTGTTTTGTATAGATTATTTTCTCAGTGTCATAATATACTGCTTCATCATTAACCTATAACGCGTTATGAAACCCTAACTTACATAAAGCCATAACATTCCATAAGATGATGCCACTCTTACTTGGTCACCTCTGACCCTCAGCGCATTGGAAAGTGATTAACGTTACCAGGTCAATGTCCCATCAGCTGATGATGCAACCATTATGTCACCATTGATCTCTGCAAAAAGGACACTGGATGAAAACGATTGGAAGGGTAACAAACAGAAGAGGTTGAAAGAACTGGGGATGCCTCTACACATGTCAAGGCACAAAGCGAGCAGGGTATGAACTTAACGTCCTTTGCCGTTGCCAACTGATTGGTACAAAATGCAATGACACCACAGGTCACTCTCTTGGAAGGAAAAGAGAGCCTACGTATATGCCATGATAAACAGGATAGACAAAAAGAGATCTTACTCAGCAAGTGAAAACCCAAGAAGAAATTAGACCCTCCAACACCACTTAAAAAGAGTTAACGGTTAAAGAATTCCTGTTTGTAAAACAATCTTCATGAGCATTACAGGCCTGACCCACTGGTTTATTTAAAGTGTCTTCTCCGAAAAAAAAAATCAAGAGCCCCCCAAGAACACATCATGCCCACCACGAGAGAGCCATGGATGACAAGTTGTTCCATAAAGAGACAGTTTTTGACAAACTTTCGAATACAACACCCTGTCTGCAGATGACAAAAATCCAGAACACTTCGGATCTGCACCGAGTATACTCGGAGAAGGAAAAGGACAAGGAAGCTGCACTGAACTCAGAGAACAAAGTGTGTGTCCTTTGTATGGAGATCCAGTGCGTCCTTCTGGCACCATCACAAAAGACATCCGCCGTATATTATAAAACAAAACCGGCTGTATACAATTTTACGATTTCGGATCTTGCCACCAGAGACGCCAGATGATATGTCTGGGATGAAGGTGGTCTGAGCTCCAACAGTTTCCATCATGTCTGACTCACTACCTGAGATCGCAAGAGACTGACTTTAACCACTTCATCATCTGCAGTGATGGGTGCAAGTACCAAAACAGAAACGCCACCCTGGTGAGTGCAATGGCCTTGCTGGCCAAAGACTTGACATCACAGTTGAGCAGAGATTCTCACCAAGGGCCATACCCAAATGGAGGTAGATTCAGCCCAGGGACCTATTGAGCTATCGCAAAAAAACGCCCTGATTTATATCCTAGTGGACTACTTGAGTACCATACTCCAAGCCAGACGCATCCTCAGGCCTTATGAAGTTATGCACCTGGACCACAGCTTTCTCAAAGATTTCCCAAAGGTCGGAGAGTACTAAACGATCCACCGAGGGAGAAGAGCAGGAGACCCTACTGTCACTGACTTGCAGGCATCAAACAACACTCCAGTCTTTAAACATCTACAGGAGTTGAAGGCCATCGTACCACAATGCTACCACAATTACTATGACACTTTGCCTCTGTAAGAAGCTTTGAAAGAGATCAAGTCAAACTCGATTATTGTAGAGTCTTTCAAACAATGGTGACTTTTTGTCGTATTGTCTTGTTATAGCCATAGGACACAGGGTGAGACAGACATGCACTTCTATAGTTGAGAAAACTCAATAAAGTACTTGTTATCAAGCAACGCACCTTGAAGAAAGTTGACGTTTTTAAAAATATACTTAACAAAGTATTTTTGTACAATAATAATATATTATTATGTAACCAGCTCCACTCAAACCAATTGAGGTAGCGGAGCTTTTATGTGTCTCTCTGCTTTTATTTCTTTCTCTTCTTGTTGTTGCTGCTGTTGCTGCTGTTGCTGCTGTTGCTGTAGCTGCTACTACTACTGTTGCTGTTGCTGTAGCTACTACTACTACTGTTGCTGTTGCTGTAGCTGCTACTACTGTTGCTGTTGCTGTTGCCGTAGCTGCTACAGCTAGTACTGTTGTTGTTGATGTTTTTGTTGTTGTTGCTGTAGCTGGTCGCCCTTACCCTTCGAACCTCCTGTTCTTCTACTTCAAATGTAATTAATAGACCTATTGCTGTGTTCTGCTTCTTCCACTTCTAGGAAATTTTCAACTTTCTGATTGCTGTTTTTGCCTGAATTCACCCCACAGCACTGTCATGACAGCAGCTCCTCTTCTTCCTAATTTTTCTGGGTTTTTTTTTTACTCCTCCTCCTCCTCCTCCTCCTCCTCCTCCTCCTCCTCCTCCTCCTCCTCCTCCTCCTCCTCCTTTTCCTCTTTCTCTTTATCCTCCTCCATTTCCCACTCTTTTTCTTCTTCCCCTCCTCCTCCTCCTCCTCCTCCTCCTCCTCCTCCTCCTCCTCCTTTTCTTCTTTTTTAATTATGAGGATGATAATGATGATGACGATGATGATGATGATGATGATGATACATGTTACACAAAAGATCACGACGATTGAAACAACAGACCAAATACGTCACCGGCAAGTGCGGCTTGGCTGCACTCAAGGCCAACAGTGGCTTCCTGAAAAAACCGGCCAACCCACAAAATTGAGGGTCGGTCGGCTTAATCCGGAAAAAAATTGAGCGACATAACCATCCAACCCACGCAGTTTCATTAAAAGCGATTCTTTAAGAAAAAAAGGGCTGCAGTTTTTCGGTGAAGTGTTTCTATAGGTGTTTAAAGCATTGATTTATCGTTAGACACCTTTTGTTTTAAAATAAAACAGATTTTTCCTTCTCTTGTAAAATTTACCTCGCTGGGGTTAGCCGGTTTTCTCACAAGGCCGACGATATATGATAGCGGCCCATTCGTAAAAAGCACACAACTATTTCTTTTTTCATTATATTCTGTGAGTGAGTTTACGTTCACCTCGACACAATTCAAACGTGAGGCAGCGTGGTGGAATCAGGCTCTCGTCAAAATAATAAACGTGAAGAAACTTGCATTTTTCCTTGGGATTGTGAATTTTTATCAAATTTATGTTTTTTGGCTCAACACCTTTCATGCCCATTAAAGAACTCACTCTGTGAGGATTTTTCGGAAAAACGTTGATTAAAGGCAACACAAAAAATGTAAATGTTCTGTTACCACGGACTCTTAAGCTAAGGAAATAACTCATCTTTGGCGGTCATTTTCTCACTAATTTTACCTCTGAAAACAGGTGACCCCCACCTCCTTCTTTTGTAAATATCTCGACTTGTATTCAAGATAAATGGATATTTTTTATCCAAATAAAGACAAGTGAACAAGCTTTAAGATGATACCAATAACTCTACACGCCCAAAAAATGACGAGAGCCTGATTTCACCACGCTGCCTCACAAATAATTTAGGAGACTGGCTTCCGACTCTGTCTGTTAGGGCCAACCTGGGCTGAAAGGGATGCAACATCCTAGCAGAAAGACTGAGCGCTACTCGAGAGAAAACTTTTCCCTACTCGAGAATCGAACTCGGGTCTCCTGTGCACCACAGCGAAGTGCTTGACAGCTACACCACAGATGTCGGTTCCTATAGTTGGATTGAGCTTTTAGATTTATTTATTTAGTATAATGTACATGGAGTGATTGCATCATTTGTTACAAAGAAACAATAATTCAAAACCTTGTACTGCCAAGATCATTAGAAAAAAATACTGCAAAAACATAGACATATAAGGGGAAACAAATTTTGGTTACTACAAAAGACTTAGAAAAAAACAAACAAACCAAAAAAACAAAAACACCCATCGAAACAACGCATATAAACTGAACGGTATATGCGTGTTGCGCACAAGCAGATCAACAAGAAAATCCAACTCAATTGAAACTTATTCTGCCAAGAACATTAATGAGTACTAAGCCCAGTTTTGAGCATAACCATGTAGGTGAAAGGCCTTGCAAAGACCGAATTTCTATAACACCTTTCAAAGACAATTCTAAAATATCATATTATTTTTCTTCTCGTCCAAACGCCAAACACTCCCCAGCATAAGTAAACATCATGATTCACTGAGGGAGACCGTAATTCCTTGTTTTGGAATCCTTGGGAGTAAAACAAGCCATGGTCACTGTAAACAAATTATGTTGGGCTATTCCACAGTAGCTGACGGGATATTTGGACTTTACTTTCTTACAGTAATCACATGTAGATCTAATTCAATATCAATTAATTTATTTCAACTTTGAATGGTCAGAACATTTGAAAGACACAACTAAAAATCATAGTAAATGCAGTCACTTGAAAAAAAGGGACGCTGTGCAACTTCAGGGACTCGTTTAGTTCCGGTAACTGACGGGACAAGTGAGGTTTTTCATCTATCTCGCCAGTTTCCGTGGAATGGGCCATTACCCGTTTTCGTGCTAGATCTAGATAAACACAAAGGTTTTATGAACACATGTGAAGACAATGTGAATACATCAGTCATGTGAGCTTCATGTGTGAACATAGGTTGTTGACTGATCGGGCACTGACCTTTTCGAAAGAAGAGTTTTGTTCCGAGATGAGATAAATAGAAACAGAAACAGAACAAACAGTGGGAAGGGCTTTTGCTGAGCTGAAACAGTGTGTACGATATCTAAGGCTTTCCACCAAGGGCATGATGACCCTAGAGAAAACTATTTAGGGCAAAGCAGTTGAGAAGAAATGCCAGGTATCTCGATAGGGGGACATAATATAAACAATCTAAGATATGCAGACGACACGGTCCTAAAAGCAGAAGATGAAGAACACCTACAGAATCTATTAAATGTCATCGTACAAGAGAGTGACAACATGGGCTTAAGCCTAAACATCAAGAAAACCGACACAATGGTGATAAGCAGAAAAACTCCAATCACAACATGCAAAATCAAAATCAATGATACCACCCTCAAGCAAGTTTAACATTTAAAATATTTGGGGACTATTATATCATCAGATGGGCGATGTCACACCAAAATTAAAAGCCGCATTTGCCAAGCAAAAGCAAACTTCCACAAAATGAAACAGATGCTAAAAAACACCAGTCTGTCACTGGAAACGAGAAAAAGAGTACTGAAAAGTTACAACGAGCCAATCCTATTATACGGGTGCGAAGCATGGACAATCAATAAACAGCTGGAAAGAACAATTGTGGCGACAGAGTTGTGGTTCATAAGACGCATGTTACGTATCCCATGGACAGCTAGAAAAACAAATAAAGAAGTCTTGGTTGAAGCAACGTTTAGAAGACAGCTTATGACGAATATAAGAAAGCGACAGGCAAATTTCTTCTGACACACAATGCGGAAAGAAGCATTGGAGAATATTGTAACAACAGGACAACAGGCACGTTTGATGGAAAAAGAGGCAGAGGTAGACAGAGGAAAAAGATACAGGACAAGATGACAGCATGGCTAGGAGCAGCAAGAACAACAGACACCATTACTGTAACGCAAGACAGAGTGAAGTGGAGGTCCATGATTGCCCACGCCAGTCGGCAAGGCACCGGATGATGATGATGAGTTAATAAACACCCTCCCAAAAAAACCCAAACAAAACAACAACAACAACAATAAAACAACAACAAACAAATAAACTAACAAACAAATACAGAGACAAACAGACACAAAAGTGTGGAATTTTCTCAGAAAAGTTGTCAAACAATATTTTGGGAAAAGGAAGTTCTTCAGGAACACACGATGTGCAAACACAGTATTGTGCTCATGATACCAGTTCCACACAACGCCCCATCCAAGAATATTATAGTGAATATATTTTGAGCCTGAACAGACCAATACATGACTGAAATAACGGACCCCCCCACTCTCCTCTTTCAAATACATGAACTTCTAACATTAACATTGGCATTTGGAGAATATTAAATTACAACCCCAGTCCCACTCTCTACTTCTGTCGAGAAATCCAAACTCCCCACATTTCGAGAGTTGTACTCTACCTACAGCTCGAAATGGGATTTCCGCGAAGTAAAACCTGTGGTCTGTGGTAGCCTCTGGTAGCCTGTGTTACAATTTCAACACCACTTTCATTGCAGCAAGGTTAATAAACAAGTAGAAAGACCTCGGAACATAGCTCTCACTCGTCTAAGCCCAGTACAGCATCACGATAAAACAGCTGGCCAACAGTTTTGTGGGCGAGTTGTGGGCAATGAAAGCAAGAGAAGCCACGACTAAATGTGAGGCAGCGTGGTGGAATCAGGCTCTCGTCAATTTTTGGGCATGTAGAGTTATTGGTATCATCTTAAAGCTTGTTCACTTGTCTTTATTTGGATGAAACAAAATATCCATTTATCTTGAATACAAGTCGAGATATTTGCTAAAGAAGGAGGTAGAGGTCACCTGTTTTCAGAGGTAAAATTAATGAGAAAATGGCCGCCAAAGATTGGTTATTTCCTTAGCTTAGGAGTCCGTGGTTACTGAGAATTTACATTTTTTTGTGCCTTTACTCAAATTTTTTCAGAAAAATTTAAACAGAAAAGAGTTCTTTAATGGGCATGAAAGGTGTTGAGCCAAAAAACAAAACAAAAAACTGATGAAAATTCATAAACCTGCGGAAAAACGCCAATTTATTCACTTGACGAGAGCCAGATTCCACCACGCTGCCTCACAAATAGACTACATTTATATTTATTGTATGTCGTGTGGACGTGGTAGGTATTTCTTATTTTCACTGTCCACAATTCATCTCCAAAACAGTTGGCCAACCGTGCGGTACTGGGCGAAGAC